GTGCATAAATTTCATTATTTTTACTTATTATTTTTCTCTTTTTATCGTATTTTTTCATGTTATTTATATATCGATAACTTTTTTATATGATTCACTCACTTTAATTTTGATATTTTCTGCCATTTTACTTCTACAATATAAATTTTGTTCAATTTTTGGATTCATATTTGTTTTAGCATTCTTATTTATGAAATATTTATATAACCTTTAAATTTGCAATAATTTAATTATCTTTGTTATAAACTAAATTGTCATTTAGAATTATATAAGTATTATCATTATACGATAAATATATTAAGTGTGTATAAAATGCGTAATTTAATAAAAAGTAAATAAAAATTCCTATTATTCATCTGATAGAAATTAAAAAAGTCTAAGAATAATATATAATTCACTATCTATTACAAATTTACTCACAGAATGTTTACCATAACATAGTAAATTTACTAAAGTATAAAAATTTTATCTTTTACGTTCAGTTCCTTAAAATAGAAAAGTAAATATTATCTTTCTGTGAATGAATTATATAAAGCAGTATTTTGATGTAACTCTATTTGGAATTTTATTTATACTTATATAAAAAATTGAAAACTGAAAAAATTATTCATATCTTTCATACTTAAGAGTATTAATTAGGATTTTCGAATTTAAATTATTAAATTAATACTCTTATTTAAATTAAAAATTCATTTATGGTCTGAATTAATAATATTATTTAATAATTTTAATTTAAAAATACAATTATTAATAATGATGCAAAGTGCATCAAATAATATTAATATAAATTTTAAAATATTCTCATATGTGATTTTTTATTATTTTAAATTATAAACTTCTAAAGAGTTATAATTTCATATTAATTAAAAATTAATTGTTTAAAAAATATCACATATAATTAAATAAAATGTACATAACATATTTAGAATCAATAACACAAATAATAAAAAATTTCCCAATATTTATTAAATGTGTTTACTGGACTCTTCTTTCTTTATTCTTGCGATCTAAATTTTTTGCATCCCACATTTTTTCCTCTTTCTCTTTTCTTCTCTCTTATATCCCCTCTGTCTCTATATTTACTCTTGTTCCCTCTTTCCCATGTAACAACGCATTCATGTCCAAAAGGTTGACGCTAATCCGCATCGGGAGAGCCAAAAGGGGTGCCGAGTTGATATACAGTCCTGCACTAAAACGATAATATTCACCCCTTCACATCGTCGAGTATGAGTGAGAACTTGTGAATTGTGCAAGTTCCCGCTTTCCTCTCTCTCTTTCTATCTCTCTGTGTATCTGTCTTTTCCTCTATTTCCCTATACATATAATTTTTTTACTCTACTCATTAACTTAAACTTTTCCCTCGTTCGTCGATCATACTAAATGTAATAAAAAACACGTCACTAAGAAATACTCGCTTCTCAGTTAGGTCACTTTATCCGAATAAAATGTCAAGATTCATGTACATTTTTTTTCTTTATCTCTCTCAAATTTAGTAACATTTATTCCGTAAATAAATAATATTTTCCTTAATAAGTATATTTCACAGTTACTATTACTAGTTATTATTAGAAAATAATTACTACAGTTCAACAAAATTTTAAAAATAAAATATGTCAATTTTCCAAAATTTTACTATATACTTCAATTTAAATTTATTCATTTAAATATGAAATTTTAATTACACATGCGCACACACACACAGACAGACGGACAGAATAATAGCAATAATATTATTTATTATATATTAGGATAGAAATTTTGTGTAATGAAACTACATTGCTTTACTAATTAATAAAAGAAATTAATATTAAGAAAAATTCATTATAATTCTCTTTATAAGATTGTTTATTATAATATGTATCAATAATTATTAATGATCCACACGAAAATATTTCAGTGAACAATTTTAATGAATCTGACTGCAATATAAGGATAGCGCTACAAAATGTTGGTTGTTATATTTACTCATGATGAGCTAAAACCATAATAAGGTAATTAGTACTCTCTGCCATGGAAACAAAAGCCGCTTATTCTCGACCACTTCACATCTTTTTTCTTTATCCCTTCTCTCTTTCTCTCTCTCTCTCTCTCTCTCTCTCTCTCTCTCTCTCTGTCTATTTCCTCCTATCTTTGTTTCTCTTTTACATACACATATAGATTCCTTTTTTTCTCGTGCAAATACTCAATGTCCTCACGTATAATCTACTTATTATACTTATTTAAAATAATATGTTCATACATACACTCTTATAGGTATGATCGACTACATAGCAATATTTTTCTTATTCATTCGCTCTAACCATTGTTGTGCATTTAATTGTGTTTTACCTGATTTATCAGTTATCTAATATTTTTTCCTTTATTATTCCATTTTTTTCTTGTAAAGAGAAAAAATTATAATAAAGTCTATTCTATTATCTAAATAATTCAAATAAGAAATTTTAATTATATTTATGTAAATTGTACCAATGTATTTTTTATTATATATAAAATATTTTATTTTACATACACGTTTCCTTATTATTGCCTTTCATTTTCCTTATTATCCACATTATTACCTTTTATACAATGTACATTTATAGTAGATTTTTACATACATTTATACAAAAACATTGGTATAAATGAAAAAACTACAATAATTGTTTCTATTAATAGTAAATTGAAATTTTAAAAAAATATTTTAACCTTTTGCTTCATGAGTTTAAATTGGTGAAAATTCTTAATTCAATCTTTGATTTCCTTGAGAAATATTAATAAAATGCTAATATCAAAAGTATTTGTATAGGTAATCATTAATTATCAAAGTAAAAAATAATTGTAGAAAATTTATTTACACCTTATAAATACTTTATAATCTTGAAGTATGAAATAATTGGTTAATTTTTTATACCATTTTTCGGGTTTAGAGGCTATATATAATAACGAAATATATATGAAAATTGAATAATGCGATAATATATTACATCAAATACTTACAAATAAAAAAATATAAAATTTAAATTCCCAAGAAATAGATTATATTAAAAATAGATAATAAAAAATATTAAAATTTTGACTTTAAAACAATTGAAAAATATCAAAGTAGAAGATAAGATTTACTGAACATATAATAAATATAAATAGCCAAATGTATTGTTAAAGATGCATTAGCAATTAAAAATATTACATTATTAATCTATATTTTTGTAATAAGAATTAGAATACTTTCATAAAATTTTTCAAGAAATTTTAATTTGCATAATTATAGCATTATTCACATATGAGGACTATTGTACTATACATGAACGTATCTAAATTTATAACTTGAAATTTATATTTCAAGTTATAAATCAAATTTTTATGCACATTTACAATAGACATAGAAAAGTATTCCTTAAAATAGGCTTGAATATCAATTCATTTATTTGAAAAAATTCAATGATGTTAGCCTGTAATAATTATCACACAATATTGAAGAAATACCGTAATGCGCTTTATTCTCCACTTTGAAATCTCTATTTTTTTTACTATTGGACTATTCATTGACTTACCTGTAGTACTAGCAAATACTGATATAAACTGTTAATTTTGAAAAGCAATAAATTAAAAATATTTTTAAGTATTTTCAGTAACACGATGGAAAAAAAAAATAGAAAATTGAATGAAGAAAAAAAGAATCATGGTTATTTGAGAAAGTAAACAAAAATGAGACCAAATAATATACAGAACTACTGAAGATTTAGCTCTCTTCTTTCCTCCTTTTTCTTTCCTTCTCTCTAACTTCTCTCTGTAATGTACATCCTTCATATTCGATTTTAGAAATAAATTATTCAAGGTGTCAAGTGTTCAGCCATCCAATTTTTATGTTTATTTTAATTCATAGAATACAGTTTCATATTTTTTTAATTTTTCTTGCACTTATTTTCATTATTAACTTAATGTAAATAATATAAATTTTTATACTTTACTTTCATTTTATTTATATTACTTTATATATACTAAATTAATAAACAATATTGAACAAAAATTAATAAATACATGTTGAAGTATAAAAATAAAGTGTAATTACTTTTAATTTTTATTAATCATATAACGAGTTAAACTTTATATTATTTTAAGTTTTGAATCATTAAGTTTTAAAAATATATAATGTATTATTGATTAGCTCTGAATAGAATATTTTAGTGCAATATTAAACTAGTTTTAAATATTCCGTTTCTTTTTCTAAAATCTCATTTATAGCGAAATTTAAATTATAAATAACATTAATGGCACTAGATTGTTTCATGCTATAATACATACTATTTAAGATATTACAAATATATCTAAACATAAACATTTTTTTGATTTTTAAAAATAGGTAATATTTCAAAATAATATTGCATTCATTTGATATAAAATTTTTTTTATGTAAATTATATATTTTTTCGCATTTTTAGAGAATATAAATATTTAAAATTTAAATTTCTATTTTATTAACCATCGCATTAATTAATTTCAGTTTTAAATTACTTTTTATCTGAAACTAAAGTAAAATATATAAGTTAATAAAACGTGCATTTAAATTAATAATTAATTTTGTTAGCTTTTATTCATTTCTTAGTGTTATTTATAATATTTATATATCTATTATAAAATATAAATGGTATAAAACAGTTTAACGTGTAATTAATTATATAATTTTATTTTGTATTTATCAAAACTTTGAATTTTATTAGAAAAAAAATACTATTTGTAATAAATCTAATAATCAATTATTTTGTACTTTTCCAAATATTATTTTAAAAGATATATAATATCAAGTAAATATTTAAATCTGAAAATATCATTTTAAATAAACAGTTCTCAGTTATTATTATAAGATAATATCAACAGGTATCTCAAATCATACTATTCTGCATAGAACTAATATATTATTTTTAATGATTTTATAATTTAAAGATATTTTTGTGTATAAAAATTAGATTTTTTTATAATCATTTATATAAATTTTAAATAAACAAAAATAAATTTTGGTAACTCACCCCGACCACTACGTCCAACGAACCTAAGGTCATTGAACTTGGCTACCTGGTTCTTCATAAGGGCTGTAGAATTTCTCAACTCGGCACAACAATTTTCATCATTACCAGCTCTTACGGTGACCAATGTCCCATCGCCTACTTCTCCAAGTGCTACAACTTTGAAAGCTACTGGTAATGTCTTATTAGAACGCCAATGAGTCGGGAGTACTGTGCACACAACATGCGGTGAACCTTTCAACAAACAGAGGAAGTCCTTTATTTTTTTCAATATTTTCATCTACGCAAAAGAAATAATCGAATAAAACCTATAAAGCAATATATAATGTTAAATATTAATTCACTTTTTATAATTTTTATTTACAATAATTAAATATTATCTTTCCAAAGTATAATATATAAAATTAGTATTCTCGTTAAAAATTCATTCTACTAATAGATATATGTATTGGATTAAGTTAATTAATAGTATTAAATAATTTAGCATATATTAATGCTTGATACCAAAATAAATTTTAATTTATGTTTATTCTTTTACATAAATCTTACATACATAAATTAAAAATAGCAATTATATATTCAAGGAGAATTTATGATCCAATTATTAATCTATTATTAATATCCTATTTAATATTAATAATATTTTAAATAGATATGTTTATAGATAATTTGGTAATATAGATTTTAGGTAATATAGATATTTTTTTATAGAAATTAAGTATTGATATTAAAAATTTTAAATTGTATATTTATGTAAGCTACCACTTACCTATACTTATAAAAAGCAAAAATTACATTAAAATATTTATAGTATACAACATATCAATTGTATTTTAAGTAGCACAAACATATATTAATTAGAAATATACCCGAATTTTAAATATAACTAGGTATATATTTATAAATTTAAAGCTATCATCTTTATAGCGTATAACTACATAATACCGTTACCTAATAAAATAATATGTTAAATGTAAGCTATATTTTTTATTTTAAACTAGATGTTAATTAAATATTAAGTAAATGTTTTTATATTTTAATAAAATGTTATTATAATTAATTAATTAACAATATAATAGCAAATATACATGTATATTAGTAAATCAATTATCTTGATTTCTTAATCAATATCAATCAATTTTTTTAATAAAATTATATGTCTAATATATGCTATATTTTAAATACAACGTTATATTTGTTACATAGTTAATAACTATGCTGGTGACCTATTTACAGTAATTAAATTACTAATATGCAAAAATAGAATTGATAGTGATTTTTCAAATTTCTATTTAATATTAATCACTTAAACAAAATAGGTATAAGCCACAACGTCACATCTGTAAAATGCTTAAGTTACATGCCCAAAGCTCTATGATTGAATTTCAATTTTTGTTCAACTCGAAATTTTACTCGAGTATTGTTGATGGAGCTTATGTTGAATAACTGTGAATTCATTTTGTTAAAAATTATTGGTATGTGTTTGAGCTCATTATAGGTGTACACTCAAAGATAACTGATTTATATGCAAATTTAACTAATGAATCAGATCATGACATAGTTTCGAAATTTTTTATAATTATTTGAGAATATATTAGAATTCATATATGACTATATAAAATTTTTCTGTAATTCTTAAAAAAAATTATTTTTATTTCTTCAATTTAAATTATTTTCTTTTTTATGTTATAATAAAAAAATTACAAAAATAAAAATAACATATTTATTTTTTAATCATGATGCAATATTTATTAATAAAAATTAAATGGAACTTTTATAGAAATATAAAACAAAATTTAGATATGTTTCAATTATATATTTCACTTATTATTAACTATATCAAACTACTATATTAAAAATTAATCACATTGAATACAATATAACTTATCGTAAATTATTTTAATTCTTTATATTAATTATATAGTTTATAACATATTGAAGAAAAATGTTTTTTTTGTAATAATAATACCTATGCATTCGAGTAAATGAAATTTATAATGTATAATTTTACTTTTATTAATTTCTATTTAAACTTTATTATATAATTTCGTTATTATATCTCCTAAAAATAGTGTTTTTAGTTGCAGTATTAGTACTTAAAATATTAAATTTATAAGTTTATTTTAATTTTGTTGTTATAGATTTGATTAATTTAAAATAAACTATATATTAAATAATATAAAAAATAATATTCAACTTTACGAATAAACTATAATTCAAAACTATTTTATTGTTTATCATATTCCATTAATTCAACACAATCTCATTAATACATACACATTACAATTACTTTTTAGATAGAAAATTTAAAATTACTTTTTTACAAATTATACCATGAATATTCTAAAATATAAATTAAGTATATAATAAATTTTATTTAGAATATTATTTTTCACATAAAAATTTAAACTTATATTTCTATGAATTAATATTTTTGTCAATAACATCTTATTTTCTAAACAGGCTCATTGTGCATTTTAATTATTACTAAGAGAAGTTTATCTGATTATTTTTTATCGTATTTGATAAATTTATGATATACGGTTACAGATATAAACCCACCGGTTCGAACAAGTTCACCAGGATGTTCGGCTAATAAACCATTCAACGTTCTCTCTGCCAAGAGATCAGCTGTAAGAGCGTAATCAGGACGCTGATTGGCTTGTACAGTAGCCTGATGCTGTGTCTGCGTTTCAGCAGATAAGTGCATTGTCTCAATACTACGATGTAATGACAATGTTCTTAACCTCCTTAATCGACTGCTGCTCGCTGGCTGGCTTTGATGATTATGTGGATAGTAATGAAGGTTGTGATTATGGTGTTGATAGTGATTATGTTGCTGTTGGTATTGGAGAGGATGCAAATAATTTTCATTCGTAGCCGATACCGTCTTGACTAAGGTAACTTGCTGTTGAAGGTGTAAAGAATTGAAACCTCTCACGTAATTTTCCACCGTTACACCTCGTCGTGCATCTCGTAATGGATTCGACATATGCTTAGGTCATCGAAAGATCATCAATACCATGTACTGATTCAACATTTTCTTCCCTTCTATCTTTGTTTTCTTCATCTTTTAAAGACCAAACAGCATATTTTATATCAAAACTGATTAAAAGAATTTATTGAATTATATTAAAAATTACTTTCTTCCAGTAACCTCTTAAAAGTAATTATTTATTTATAATTTATTAAACTTTTATATTACGTTTTAAATACAAACTATCGAATGATAACTGTATTATTTATTTTTACATTTATTAAAAACATTTTTATTATGAAAGAATTTAACGGACTTGAATTTTAATAAATACTGATAATATAATAACATTTATTTCTTCTTAAAATTTAGTTTTATCTATTGCATTCTTTAAATTATTAGATTTTATAATATATACTATTTAAATTATGTAAATTAAATATTGTAATATTTATGTTATTATATATGTTTTTTATTTTATTATTTATTTATTTATTATTTATTATTTATTTAATTATTATTTATTATTTATTATATATATTTATTATATATATATATATATATATATATATATATATATATATATATATAAATAATTAATAATAAACAAATTAAAAATTTGTAATATTAAAATTGTAATAATAATACTGAGTTATCTAATTTTTTTTTGTATTAATCTTGACTTCTGATTTTTACTTAATTCTGAATTTTTTATCAAATTTAAAAAAAAATTATCACCTCCAATTTTACTATTATCGTGGTCCATTATCAATCTAGTAAATGCTAAATAGAAGAACATTATCCATAACCTTTATGCATAATAAATTAATTTTATTACATTGCAGTTGTCTTCATTAACATTGAAAAATAATATTATTTTTAAAACGCACGACAATATTTATTGTATTACTTTACTATTAATATTATAAATACTATCAATATCAACAATACCATCTATTATAAGACTTTTATTGTTAATTTAAAATGATATTTAAACATATTTTATCTTCAGTAATTTAAAATACTAATTTTGTACAACAATTGCATATACGAATTTTTGGTCATATCAGTAAAAATCAGGTATTATTCAATATATATTGCAATTTTAGTTTTCAATCAAGATAATTTTTATTTGAATATAAAATTTACTATATAATAAATTAAAGAATATGAGATTTAAAATTTTTTTTATTTTATAATTTTTTATTCGTTCTTTTAAATAAAATTATTATTTAGATAATTATTAAATGTATATCAGTCCACATGTTCACATATATTGTAACTTCATAAACAAATTTATCATTTTTATAGAAATATTAAGTATCTATATATTTAAAAAATATATACCATAACACTATCACTTTAACATTTGATAAGTTGCATATCTTATTAAAAAATTATATTAAAACATATGTATTTTAGGAACAGAAAATGGAAAAAAAAATTTTTTTATAAAAGTAAGTTCAGTCACTTTTTATCTTTGCAAGAAAATAATTTGTTAAAGTTTCACAAAATATTTAACACAATTGAAAATATCCAAGTTCAAATTTATGTATTTTTATAATGTCAATATAAACTCACTATTAAAAAACTTTTTACACTCGCGGTCACTAATTTCTAGAAAGAGCATACAATAGTTCTAAAATTTTCAATGATAATTAATAATATTGTATTACAATATCGTTGCCATCGGAATGCCCAAAAAAAAGTTGTAATGTTCCAAAAATATCAAGATTATTGAAAATCAAAAACCAGTGAAATTTTTTTAAGTCATTTGCCGTTTATCAACTCCAAGTTGCACTGGGTGTTTAACTTACGCGGTCTCGTTTCGGTGAGTACAGTGGAGAGTGCACGTTGGTGTTGGAAAGGTGGCTAGCGGCTTCTGCGGTGGAGCCGCGCGCGGTGTGGTTGCGGTGTATTTTTGAGGCCGCCGCCCCCGGCCGCATACACCACCACCACTAAGGTGCGCCGCGAAAAAGAGGCGAGTGAACGCACGATGCTCCGCACATATAGACTGAGTGAGCCAAAGAAAGAAGGAAAGACAGAGAACGAAAGAGAGAGAGAGAAGGAGAGGGCGAGAGAGAGAAAGAGAGAAAACAAGGCAGAAAGAGGGAATTAACAAAACGGGAAAACGTTCACATGACCTCCCCACCACGTCGGGAGATTTGCACTTTCATGGAGGGAGGGTGCCAAACAAGGTTTTTCTCTCATTGGTAGGGGAAAAATAGAGCTTGCAAACGAATACCCCGCCACCTGCTTTACCTCTTCCTGATTTTTTCCTCTTTTATATTGTTTTTTCTCTTTTTTTTCTTCGATTAGAATCTATTTTTCTCACTCTTGCCTATGCGTACTGTTCATTTAAATGATGAGACTGCCACCTACTGTTTATTCGATTATTGTATTTCTTTTATATTTTAAATGTATGATACGCAATTTCTTTATGAAGCACTTATTTCGGTACATATTTCATCTTATTAATCAAAGAACCTATAATTCTTCAAATTGTAATTCATATATAGTCTACAGTAGTTCTAGCGATGATTATTATCAATCAAACTTTATTTTTTAAGTTTATCTCTATTTTTAATTTCATGTTAGTGATATTCTAAATAAGATTTTACAGTACTACAATATTGACCCGTTCAAAACAATTTTATTCTTAATAACATTGTTATTATAAAATTTAATTCATTTCATTATGATTCTAACATCATTCTAATATCAACAAAATTTAATTAATAATGAATTTTTATAAATAGTACATATTATTATATTATGGAATTGTTTAGATTTTGTGATGATTTAATTCAATAATATTAAATTAATAATAATTGCAATTCGTAACTTATAAATTATCATTAAATATATATGAAATATATTAAACAAAATAATGTACAAAAAAGCACATGTAACATAAATGCAAATATAAATTTTGACGCGAGCAACTATCTTCACCCCTTTCGAAAAGAAACTTTAATTACTATTGCTTTACCTTCATCGTTAAAATTATTATTGAAAACGCCTTCTTAGAAGATTGTTTCGCAACCAGCTACAAAACGACACTGGGAAGAAGGGAAAACAAAGACGACGGAAGCACCCTCGGCCATGTAGTTGCGTTTAGAATAAGAGAACTCGTGGGGGACTACGATAAAGAAAGACTGAGAGTGAAAGAGACAGAGAGAGGGAGAGAGAGAGAACATATAAGGGGAGTTGAGAAACTTGACAGAACGAAAGCAAAAAAAAAGTTAAAAAAAAGAAACCCCTTGACATGATAATGATTATTTTCCATTGATTTTAATTAATAAACATTATTTTTATTGATTTAGATATCTTTAATTTAATTACTTTGTTACTTGTCACTATAAGTCTGAGTTACTTTAGGTCTGAGTTCGTTCATCGCAAATTTATTAAAACATACATTTTACCTATATACAAATAATCAATTACTAACAATTAAATTATTCACAATAAGAATTAATATTGAAAATTGAAATTCCAAGTACATTATTTAAAAAATAAATGTTTAAGCAATTTCAAAATAAACAAAAATAAATTTATATTATAATATCACATTAGTATAATAAGTTAATATTACAGTATAACAATTAAAAAAATAATTAATCAATGTATTTTAAATAAAAATTTGTTTACATAAAATTTTTACATAATTTGTGATGAATCTTGTTTATTTTTTCAGAATTATGCTTTTAGTATATTGTAATTTAGTAATAGTTCTTAATTATTTATTGTCATAAATTTAATAACAGTAAATGATTAAGTACTAAAATAATACTAAGATAATACAAAACCTGTGGATTAGAATGACTCGACAATACATTTAATTTCTAAATTATTTTCTTTAAAATTAATTCATAGATATTTACATGTCACATTACTTACTCAATAACATCAATTTTATACTCTTTTAGTATGATCTAAAACTATCTTTTATATTAATTAAAAATTGGTTTTTTACTTTAAAGTCAATGTATTTAAATAATTTATAATAAATGTGGATACAATAAAATAATAATATAATATAATTAAAAACATAAATATAAATATGAATTAGAAAAAAAATTTCTAAAATATATTCAAATATGATTCTTAATTAGAAATTCTAGCGATTTCTTGAGTCAAGGCAACATAATAAAAATATAACAAACTAAATATAATAAAATTTAATAATGATTAAATAATATGAATAGAAAATTGAATAGGAAATACAATACAATTTATATATTGGAAACAAGTAACAATAATAAAATCACTAAAATACTTAAAATATGATAGGCATTCTTTAATCATACATATCACGTATCATACAACAATACGTATGCGAGATAAATGTACTACCAATAATTTACCATAATCTATTCGATAAGAGATTTTTACATATGTATTTATATATTTTTGTAAAGTATGTAAAGAATTTTCTAGTAAAATAAGATTTCTAATACTTTTTAATTTAACAAATTCCTTCCAGTTCTATAACAGCATATAATTGTTTATAAAATAAATCTAATATATGTAAGAAATGCCAAAAATTACTGTAAAATCTTCAAATATATAATTTGTATTTCAGCAATAATACTAATAGCATTAAAATCATTCATTTTGATACGTATTAAATTATTTGTATTTTAATGTACGTACTATGATTTTGGAATATTTAAAATTTAAAAAAAATTTTGAAAAGTACTTAACAATATATACTATACAAAAAATATGTATAATATTAAAAATTCATGCTTAAATGTGGATGAGAAGTAAGAGAAAAGAAATTATAATATACGTCCAAAATATTGTCTATTATAAAAATGAAAAATAGCTTATCAATCTTTAAAGATATTCATAATAAAATAAAATTATTTGTTAAATAAATTGGTTCAATTATTATATAATCATACAATAATTGCCATAACATCGAGAATTAATCTATCATTAATCAATTAGACTCGAATAGTTCTGTCAACAACGTACAAGTTATGTGATCGTGACGTTACTGGACTAAACTTACCATCTTATCATATGTTATTTTTACTGTACGACGTTTGAAAATAATGAAATTAATTTCTCTA